TTTGTGAAAAATCCATGGACAATGGAAATACTTTTGATCGATAACCTGTAAAAGTTCAGACTTGTAATTTATCGTTAGGGTTAGATCAACAATTAATGAGATACGTCAATGTAGAGTGACGGCTTAATAAATATCAATCAATGCGGAATTAAAAACCCTAAGAAGTTCTTCGACATAAGAGATGTGTATGAATTACACAGTCTCCTGCTCTGATACCAATTGATGAGTTTAAAAACTCTTAGATCGATTAGATCTTTCAGAAGAACGATTAAAGAAATCAAACAATTCAAAACAATATGAGAATCAACACAGATCTGAATGAAATGTATGCTTATGATTCAAACAAAATCACGCCTCAGCAGAGCTCGATGAAGAACTTCCGTTGTAGAGGCGAGCTAGGGTTTACAAAACTATGAAAAATAAAATAAACAATGAAAGGCGTTCCTACTATGTCTGCATGCATGCAGCTTATATACTAAACCCTAGTACAAAAATATGCACGGTTGGACAAGCCCAATACTGGCATTCAAACTGGGCTAAGAATCGAGCCCATGATGCAATCTAACAGACCCAACACAATGGTTGTTTGTACTTTGATTAATATGATGCATGTGTTGTGATACTACAAATGAATCCCTCCACCCTCGGACGTTTCCGCCGTCTGGTTTGGGGTGTGACACTAACGGTGAAGGTCATAGATTTTTATTCTCCCTTGTCGATAAACATGTATTTTCAACGGACTGCTTGGAGCACATTATCAACATTATTCATCGGTGCAAGCTGAATTCAGAAGAAGACAAGTAGAACTTCACACATATGCTTCAGTGGTACATAACGTTCCATCATCATCTTTTGGCTATCATTCTGAAGGTGTTCAAAACTGTAAAGAAGTCTTCTGCTGCTCAACCGAAGTGAGCTTTCGGTTCCATTGACGCAAAGGGGGAGATTGTAGAGCTTAATTGTGTTGCGTCATGGGCTTTATGTTTTGTATCCGGATTGGGCCTATCCATCCGTGATTATCTACTAGGGTTATACTATAAATATGGATGGATGTATGCATTATAAATGGTGATTTTGATTACGTTCATTCTTTGTAACCCTAAACGCCTCTACAGTCGAAGTTCTTAGTCGAGCTCTTCTGAGGTGTTGAAATATTAATCATACGGCATATTCAAAGCCATATTCATGTTCATATTCACGTTCATAATTGTTTGCTTGCATAGAATCTAACGATCCTAATTGAACTTAGTTCTCACAAGGTGAACGATTCTAATACTTCTACCTCAAGTGCAGAGCAGGTCATAGTGCATCATGGGCATGAGCAAAACAAAAATATTTCTTGTTCTGTTGATAATGATTCAAAAGCTCGTGATGAGGTGAACGATTCTAATGCTTCTAATTCATGTGCAGATAAAGAAACAGTACAGGATGGGAGTGAGCAGATCAAATCAATTCCGAGTCTGCTAAAAGTGTTTAAAAGGTTGTGATGATGACACTCCCATAGTTGAAAAATCCCAGCCACAAAAATTTATCAAGCAGTTTAACAAATTTTCTTGTGCTCGTGCTTGTGCTTGTGGAAGAAAACAAAAAGGAGGTCATTCTCCATTTGATACGTACAGTAAACAAATTCCCATCCTTCATTTCTCTCCCAAATATTAGTTTAATACCTTTCATTCCAAGATCTTTACATCAAATTTTCACAAATTTTGCGAAGTATTATTTATAAAACTAGTGTTTTTTAAACACTTTAAATCATTAGTTTATCCAATAATTATTCGATATTATGTGATTAAAATCATTAGGATACCATATCTTTCCCATGTCCTATCCTGAAGTCACCGTTTTTTATCTGTTATTGAAACCGTTATCACATTTGAGGTTCCTTCTTTCTCTTTGATTCCGCAACTCAACCTAGATAGGTGCTTACACCCACCTAGCTTATGCACCACCACTCCATGATGTAAGTTCTCAAACGCAAGGAACTTTTCTCAGTACAGATACACCCTTAGATAGTCCCAGTCATGCAACACTTAACTGATGGGTTTCCACTGGAACATATCACACTCGAGTCTCAACATGGACAAACATTAGGAAATCATACTTGGGTACCTCGATAAACCATCACAACATCTCACATAGTCTTGCCTCGACCACTGATCTTCCACTTACGCAACTCGAAACCTCAAAATACTCCCATCTCCTAAATGGAAATACGGAGGAATCATCAACGATTGAATACACGTTGACGAAAATCTGAAGCTCCATCCTCTACTGATCACCACCCATAGGAAACGACTCATACCAACTTTGAAATTGGTTGACAAATCAACTGCTGCCCCTTCTGGAGTATAGATCAAAAGCTATATCTATACCCACAAATTTCAGCTATTGCACTCTTAACTCAGTGACCCAACCATCTCGAACTCAACATTTGCAAATCCGAAAAAAATTCCCTAGCCCTAATAAATTTTTTGACCAACGACCACCCTCCGTGGATGCACTCATCCTTTCTAAAGAACACACTCATACATCATCCCGCCTTGCACCTTGCCTTATCCACTAATAACCTAGGTCTCAAGTGTCTGCACCACAAATCTCCATAACCGGTTCCCTAACCACACTTGAATGAATCGCTGATCCTCCTAATAAAATACCCAGCTCTCCCCCAATCAGGGTTCAAACCATCACCAATTGGCATACCAACAATCTACTTCACAGACTGTTTCACCAGTTACACCAGAGTTGACTCTTGGAACGTACCATGTAATCACTCAAATATCTTCCCAACATGACTATCTCTAGTCATCTCGAAGCCTCAAACCAACACACCGTCGGATACCCCAACTGTTTCGAAATAGCTCTAACCCTCGCTCCGAGAATAATGCGTTATCGCCTCTGATCCCTTAACCAGCCTCCCACCGCAGGAACCATCTAAAAGCAAGAGACCTCACTCTCACATTATATAGACAACATATACAACAAGGGACACCTCCCCGATATACTCCTTATGATCACCTGGAACTGCTGCTAAAAGTATGTCTCCCTCAATACGGAACCTCCTTGTTCTCTTCCAACTTAGTCCCACAATGAGTCTCTCATGGTATAAGAAATACCTCGCAGCAAAGATACCGCCCAAAGTACTCTGGTGAAAATCTTGCAACCTTATGCTACCCCACGCGGTTTACCTCCAAACTCTGAAACCATAAACTCATTATCTCCTTTGCTTCTCCCAGGAACGGGGACAACGCAACTCTTGTCACAGAAGGTGACGTCTCATTTACCGGTCGATTGCTCGATTCAGACCGTGATCCTCCATTAAAAATCATCTCCACTCATCCCTGAGTCTTACGACTCTAACTGGCATCTCACCAAAAATCTCTCAGGAACTAAATCAATTTACCTCTCAAGGTATGCTTTATTGAACTCGTTCGACAGGGCCCTCTGGCCCCACATTCTATCGAACCTAATCTCAGTCTAATCAATCAGAACAGGATAACTGTTAAAACCAGAAGCACTAACTTCCAAGAATCATGGTACTTGAACCATGCTATCTCCTCTCAATCTGTTGTGAATCATGGTACGCAAACCATGTTATCTCCCCTCAATCTGCTATGAATCATGGTACCCGAACCATGTTATCTCCTCTTAATCTGCTACTTAGAACATCTGGAACTCTCCCTATTTCGAGTACGGGTCCTCTGCTTTCAGTAGTATGGGCCCATACTACCTACCACATTTACCCATACTTTCCACCCGGATTGTCCCAGGTTTCCTGAGTACCTACTCAACCTTCTCAATCACCAATCTCGTTAAACTTCGTCGCTTATGAGCGAATACTCTCCTCTATTAGCTTACTCATATGACTAAGATCACTCCCTAGGCTCTTCCTAGGTTCTCACACTTCTCTGCCGTCAGCTATTAAAGAACTCCTTATGATATCAGCCATCTACCTCCTGAATATCATCATATTCACTTAGTAGCTTACTCCCATCATCGAGAGTTCCACAAAGCATGAAGCAAGCAGTATTTGGGCATTGAATATTCTCCACCAGCACGTAAAACCACTCTAGGTTACCAATATATTTGCTCTACTCATACTCAAAAGGTGTCACCGAACTCAAGCAACTCTGCCCCTCGTAGGTATCCAACTACTCTCTCAATAGCTCCTCCAATGCTCATATAGGTATCTCTCTTAGATTACTCCTCTACTCAAAGCTCTATCTCTAAAAGATTCCTTCGGGATACTCTTACTCCGCACATACTCAAAGCACATCACAGATAGCAACATTCCTAGGCTAAGGTATCACAAATCAGGCAACTCTAGCCCTAAAATATGAAACACCTAACCTATCTTCTAGCATGCATCACTAATATTTCAATAATAACTCATAACACAAATAAGTAAGGGTATTTTGGGAAATCACCGTTCAGGCTCTGGCTGATTGTACACTCTACTCCTTCATGTTTTCTCTTAGAAACTCTTGCTAGTTTTAGAAAAATCATTTCTTTCACTACAAGAAAAAGACCCTTTTACGACGCGCAAACCACGACACTCATTGATTTATGTTACACAAAAGAGAGTGACATTAAAAAAGTGTCATCTCTTCAAAAAATTTATGGATGTGGGTCACACATTATTGTGTGCTCTTACATTAGTTCCATAAGAAAAAAATTAAAAACACGGAGGGCGGTGTATCTTAAATGCGCATCATTTGTAAGTGTCACTTTATAATTTTAATGAACACGCGTTTAGTAGATATGGGGAAAATGAAATCCCCAAAATTTTGAAAACCCGCCTTGATGTTTTTCTACCTTCTTTCTATTTTTCATCTTCATAATCGATTCTCCCCTCTCCCTCCTCTCCTATCTGCTTCTCCACTACTCTTGACCTTACCTGTTAATCGTCTCATCAGATCTCTGCTCTAGTGTCACTCTGAAGATCAATACATTTCAATCCCTAATCCCCTGAGATAGAGACGAAAAGAGAAGAAACATGAAGAATGTACCTATCGTTGTTACGACTTATGATACTTCTCAAATTCTCTCGATTCTCTCTAGCCTCTGCAATAATCGATGATATCACCTCGCTTCGCTTGGCCTTCTGGCAACCTCACGTCCCACAGCCTCAGGTCCGGCAACCTGATGTCCACCTCCACTTAACTCTCTCGTATCCCCTTCACCTATCAATATATCCCGGAACAACGTTGTACACATCAAAGAAATCCATACTTCCTTTTGAATCGTTGTTTGACAAACACCAATCCATTGCTTCCCTTTCTATCCACTGTTCTAATATGTTGGTAAGGTGTATGCGTCAAATTTGAATCTATTGATGTCTCTTCAAGCTTCGCGCTCCAACCCGAAAGGCATCTCTGATATCCTTATCCCAAGTTTCAACCAGGTAATCAAATCTCTTTCACCTCAAATCAACAATTCTGAAGGTTTTACTATTTTGCAACAATTTTCTCCGATTAGGGTTTCAGCCTCATTGTGGTGGTTGATTGGAAAAAATTCACCAGTTCCTTAGACAAAGAAGAGGTTGATTGGTAAAGGGAACTCTAATTTCACAGCAAGCATCGTGTATCACTCACTGTAACATAAATTACACACGTAATCAGAAAACAGAAAGAGTATTTGAACTTCTTTTTCTTGTTATTTGTAGAGGTTTAGGAATATTGTTGGTGTATTTAAAGTCATTTTGATTGCAATTAGTGCCCTTGAAGAAGGGGAAGTTGACACCACTTATATGACCAAACTTGCTAAACTTGCCACATAGAAATTGATTTGGTTCAGCTTCAAGTGTTGATCCTCTTGAAGAACATAAAAAGATAGCAAGGGCACTCAGGTAATTTACTTGATTTATTAACATAATATATATTTTTTATTGGCAGTTTCGTTTAATACTATGAGGTTTTGTTCTTGTACAGGTTCTCAGGGACACAGAAGGCAACTGTTCTCAGCGAGACCCTTATTCACTTGAGTTTAACTATTTTTTTTCTTGTGCCTTTAATTTAACTCTTTTTTCTTTTTTTTAAATGGAGGTTAGAATTGTGAAATCTTTTGATCCCCAAACAACCCTTTTATTGATTATGGAGTTACAGTAACAGTTCCTCTTCCTCTGGTATTGGTAAAGCTGGTGTCCCCTCTTGTTAATTGATATCAATCTCCTGAGTTAGTGTCTTCAACAAATTATTAAAAAAATATACAAGGTATTACAGATATGAAGTAGTGTTGGTTACTAATTTATCGTTTTTTTTGGATATTGATATTTTAATACTAAAAGATAGGAAGATATGATTTGGTGGATTTAAAAGATTTGCAGGAAATGTTGGTTTGATTATGGAGAATCCTTTTTTTATGGTTATAGTTATAGGAGGAGATTGTTAATAATTTTTTGGGGGATGCTTGTTTTATTAAGAAATTTAGGGACTGAGATGGGGAAATGCAGGACTATAATATTTAATCAGACAATGTATTATTATAATGCTATATTGGAACCTATGAGTATTGTTGAATAGGAAACAGGGGATTTAAGACTAAGATGGATGTTTAAACTTTTAATATTGTTTAATGGTTTCATGCCTTCTATATTGGAACCTAACAGAGTCGTTAAAAAAAGCCAGAGTTTGGGAATATTGTTGGTGTATTTAAAGAAATTGATGACCTTGTGAGCTTGAGGGACGCATTTAGACTTTTATTGCTGAAAAACTTCTTTCTAAATACCTATAACGTAGCATATTTATACTAAAAGAAAAAGAGTTTGACTCATAGTCTAAAACCGGGAAACAAAAATAATAAAAGCATCTTTCTAAATATCTATAACTCAAATTTTTGAAATTTTTTCTCAAATCCCTAGTTTCAGTCCAGACATACCCGAATGTGTATCTGAATCCATCAAACCAAGGCTTTGATACCAACTTGTAACACCGTATATTTTAAAACAAAATTTTAATTTTAAAATCACATAACTCTCATAACACATTTCACAAACAAATCTCATTTATTTAATTTACAAATCGCAACTCTATAATTGTTTGATTAATAATCCAGGATCCTCAAAACATAACTCTTCCACTGGTGTGTACGATCAAGCCGGTGCCTTCCCGCGATCCTGAGAAAGACCTGAAACACATATCACATAACATGGTAAGCATGAAGCATAGTGAGTTCCCCACAATACCACCCACAACTCATTAGCCACTCGAGCTATAACACAGTAAGACCCTCCGGTCAATGTGTCTCAGTGGGACCCTCCGGTCCTGATGCAACATTGGCTCCAACCACCTGCTCTTAGGATAAACTTCTACACCAGAGACGGATCTGCGAGGTCACAACAGAAAAAGCCGTTAGAGCCATTCCAGGGATTGTGCCCCGAGAGCGGACTTCGATGATCAAGTTAGATCATCTAATAGATATTTAAAGGAAAGCACCTATCAAGGTTTGGAAAGATATTTAAAGGAAAACACCTATCTAGGTTGATTTGCGGAATCAATAAAACTATTAGTCATGTTCTCTGAATGATAACATGACATGAAACCTGGTTCGTTAAGTAACCCAAAAATAAGCCTTCATCAGATTTAGGTGCAAATTTGTTGAGATGATCCTCATTGTTGACCATAAAATACATGCAACCAAAAATGTGAAAGAAACATACAATTGTGAGTTTTGTAGTTAAGACATTCATATGGTGTTTTGTTTAGGCATTTGCAAATGATACTTCAATTTTTTGAAAAAAAAAAACATGCAGTTGCCACACCTTCATCCCAAAAGTAGAGAGGTAAGTTGGAAATGTTGATCATTTTTCTAGCAGCTTCGACCAATGTTCAATAGATGACTTCCCTTGGTTTGTTTACCACACTCACATGTTGGGCACAAAGTATCGTTGTTGAATTTCAGAACTCGTAGTCCTAAGACTAACTCTCTAGTCACCAATTTGTTGATCTATCTAAAATTGAGATGTGCAAGCTTTCGATGCCATAACCAATTCACCTAGGACACTGCTTTTGACAAGAAACATAGTTGTGGTTTGCTAATGATTGGATAAATATCTAATGGATACATTGTCCCTTCGGCTTTGGACTTGATCAAGCAAGTGTCTCTATCATTTTTCATGATGTAGTAATGCTTATTGTCGAACTCAACCCGATGACCAGCTTTACACAATTGACCAACACTAGTCAAGTTGTGTTTTAGCCCCTCTGTGTAAGATACTCGTTAAATAGAGAAGCTGCCTGTAGTTAACAATCCATATCTCTTTATTATCCCGTTTTCATTATTCCTAAAGGTGACACGTCCACCACCATTGATCGGCATGAAGTCACAAAGGAATTCTAACCTTCCGGTCATGCACAAGGAGTTGGCACTATCATTTAACCATTCTTCTTCATGGTCATCCTTGCACACAATCTGCATGATCAGTTCGTTAGTTTGGGCACCCAAACTAGTTTGGAGACCTTGGTAACATGGGGAACATTTCTATTAAAAGTATGCATGTAGGAGTCATGAGGAGATTTATTTTTCCATGTTTTCCTGTGTCCATGATGTTTTACTACTTGTTGAGTACTTCGTGTTGGGATTGGATGTGAATCTTTTTCTAGTGGATGAAAACAAAAGTTGAGGTTCTTTTCGTTAATCCATAGTCCATACTTGGTCAACAGTCTAAAGGGTGTGGTCTTCTTATTTGGACTGCTCCTTGGGTGGTGTTTTAAAGAAGTGTATGTTGAGTTTGTAAAAGACTTGTTAAAAGGCATGGACAAAGATTTTGACTTTCTATATGATTGATGGGTTTTTGAAGAATGTGGAGTATGTAAAATACCCTTCATCTTTTGGTTCTTTTAAGGAATTTTGTGAAAATGACTCAACGTTGTTGTGAGTGGGTACAATGTTATTGCCTTTGCAAGATTTGTACATTGCACATGTTGTTTGATGAGATCCATCAACTGCAATGTGATTTTGAAAAGTTTTTGTTGTGATGGGTTTTTCGAAATTCCTTTTTTTTTTTAAATTTGGTCTGAGTTTTAAAAGTTTTGTTTTTGGATTTAGCTTCCCACTTTTCAAGTCGGGATCTGACTTCATTTTCTAGAGCCAATTTTTCGTCAACTTTTGGTGGAAAAACTTCAAACACATTTAATTAAGGTTTTCTGAAATTATTTGATCTAGGTATTGACCTAGGAGTTGAATCATCAGAACTAGAAAGTTGATGATTCTGGGAGCACTGTCGAAACTCAAAATTATCAATAGGAAGTTCTTACGAAATACGCTGAACAATGGACGTGAACATGACTGGAGTATGCACTAACAAGGACTGGAGTACCATAGAGTAGGTTAAAGGCAGATCTTTCTTCGTCCACTACCGAACTGGACTGAGAACATGGACTAATTATACCGATTATAGGCGAGAAACTTTCTAAGTTTCCTAAGGATTCAGGATGAATCTCTTTGATGACATAATTGTTACTGAGATCATAAAGTCTACAGAAGTGACATCGAATGTCTTCAGGAAAGGTCTTGTCATTGATGATAGTGAAAGGCCCAGTCTGGTGGGACATAGGGACGTTCAGAATCAAACCGAGGAGGAGAGTTCTCATCAGTAGAGGAGCTATTGGACCATCCCCAATGATATTTGTAATCAACAGTCCCACCATTAACTAGGTTTTTTATGGCCTCACTTTCATTAAACAAGTTTTCAATTAAATGATTCAAGCATACAATTTTTTCCGGGCAAGATCTCGTTGACTGAAAGCAACTTCTTTATGGATTTTAGGAACTATAACAGTCTTGTGGTGCACATATAATCCTAATAGCATTTGGATCTAAGTTTTCTCAAGTTATACATATACATGAAACAAAATTTCCAAAGCATGAAGCCTATAACTAGAATACAAATTTTCATATGAATCATAAAAGTAAGTTAGAAGAATACCTCTTAATTGTAACTTGTAGATATTGGTTTTTCAAGATCCTAGCACCTCAAGTGTGATGCCTCAAATGTTTTACAACAAACCAAGAACAAGAGGATGAACTTGAGTGAGAGGTTTGGAGACACAAAAATCATCTAGGGCTTCTAGGAACACATAGTGCATGATTTTTGGCTTTAGAGGAATACATATTGTCACACCCTGCTAAAGCGGAAACGCAGGATATGACAGCGATAAAGGTTTCATTATAAAAGATAAAGATACATCACCATAGAAATAGTTAAAAGTTTACAACCCATAATTCAAACAAAACAAAATACAAGTTTTTCCAAAATTAAATAGTTCAAAAGATAACTTCATAAAATAACTTCTAGATGATGCAGTGTGCACTATGATGACGAATCTTTATACGTACTTACTAATTATTTCGTGTAAAAGCATGTAAAATGAGGGTCAACTATGAAAATAGTTGGTGAGTTCACAAGTTTACAAAATCATGATTTGGTATAAAACTTTCCATAAGTACAAGTACATTGCTATAATGAGAAACAAATTTCATTGCTATAATGAGAAACAAATTTCATTCCTATATTGAGAAACAAAGTTCATAGCTATAATGAGAAACAAAGTTTAGTGTTGTAATTAAAAATCAAGTTTATTGCCATAATAAATAACAAGTTTGTATGTATATGAGCAAACAATGAGTTCACAACCAAGCCTATAACTGATGCCCTATTAATATCTATGCTTATCATTCCATAGATTAATATGGTATCATGCACTCAAGCAATCAGACGAGTGAGGAGTTGTCAGTTCCTAATAGCGCTATCCATAATGACCATTTGCTCAAAGAGTTAAT